AAGAGGCCTTCCGAATCTTTCCTCCTAGATGCTGCCCTAAACCCTAAACCCTAAACCCTACACCCTAAACCCTAAACCCTAAACCCTAAATCCCAAACCCTAAACCCTTTTGTTCCCCTGCAAGCTTTGCGGGGGCGCGTCTTCAGTGCCTGTTGCGAGCCGGCGCTCAAGGGCAGTTAGATGCTGGGTGAAGCCAACATGCAGACCCCAAGCGACCGGATATGCTGTTTCGCCATCCTAAGCGTTTAGGGTTTCGGGTTTAGGGTTTAGGGTTTAGGGTTTAGTGAATTTAGGGTTTACCCAGGCGCATCCGGAGCACCAGGAAGCCCGAGTGCGAGAGCAGTGCTACAGCACCAACACTTCTTCAGTGCCGGAAACCCTAAGCCCTAAACCCTAAACCCTAAACCCTACACCCAAAACCCTAAACCCTAAACCCTAAACCCTAAACCCTAAACCCCAAACCCTAAACCCTAAAACCCAAAACCCTAAATCCTAAACCCTAAACCACAAGCACTCTACCACGGATCTCCAGTTGCAATGCCTCGCCGGGGATTGTTCCGTGGCTGCACCCAGTCCGTACGCGGCCGGAGGCATTGAAAGCTTAGAACTTGTTGCGACATTTGCCAAAGAAGCCCTTAGAAGCCCTTAGAAGCCCTTAGAAGCCCCTAGAAGCCCTAAACCCTAAACCCAAAACCCAAAACCCTAAACCCTTTGAAGCCCTTAAAAGGGCCCAAATCCTTAACCCTAAGCCCTAAACCCTTAGAAGCCCTTAGAAGCCCTAAGTCCTAAACCGCCCCTAAACCCTAAACGCTACACGCTAAACCGTAAACCCTAAGCCCTAAGCCCTAAGCCCTAAACCCTAAACCTAAACCCTAAACGCTACACGCTAAACCGTAAACCATTAGCCCTAAGCCCTAAGCCCTAGTCCCTAAACCCTAAACCCTAAACCCTAAACAGCCCTTAACAGCCCAAGCCTTCAGGTTCTCCGTGTTCCTGGAGGCTCTGGGTGAGACCTCCCGTGAGCTCCACCAGGAGCGCAAGAGGTTTAGGGTTTAGGGTGTTTAGGGGCTTTAGGGGGTTTAGGGGGTTTAGGGGGTTTAGGGGGTTTAGGGGGTTTAGGGGGTTTAGGGGGTTTTTAGGGGGTTTAGGGGGTTTAGGGGGTTTAGGGGGTTTAGGGGGTTTAGGGGGTTTAGGGGGTTTAGGGGGTTTAGGGGGTTTAGGGGTTTAGGGGGTTTAGGGGTTTTGGGGGTTTTGGGGGTTTTGGGGGGTTTGGGGGGTTTAGGGGGTTTAGGGTTTCGATGTTCCACGCGTAGCTGCCTGACCTCAGATGTCACGTCTGTCATTGAATGTGCAAACGCCTTATTTGAGTGCTTTGACACCCTATACGATTGGTGGGCGAAAAACAAGGCGGCAAAGGACGCATGTAGGCAAACAATGGTGGCTTCAAGGCGGAAGAAAGATGTGTCATCAACCAACAGTGTGTAGAGGCACACATGACAGCTTCACTAGGAGCCTCCTGCAATCTTGCTCGGGTTTTGTCACTCGTGCTACGAAAAGTGCCTTTCAGACTGCTGCAGATCAAGAACAAGGAAACCCCGCTTGCTGGCCGAAGTTTAACCGAAACCTTTCATCATGGTCCGAACTCCGGCTGATGTCTTACAGCAACGCGACCTCGAAGTTGATACTGCAATGAGGGTGTATGGCCATTCCTGGCCGGTGCTTTGCTGCGTCGCGCGGAGGATCTACTGAAGCTGGATGGATGCGGCTGCTACCCAGAGCAGAGTGACTTCGCTCGCTGTGTCGACCTCAACTTGCCAGAGAATGCCTCAGATAGGCAAGCATGAGTCTGGGGAAAATCATAGCAGTCGCAATCAAGATTCTTGCTGTGCTGATGACCACAACAACGACGGATTAGAACCGATATGCCGCCCGATGACGTCGAAAGGCCGTAGCCAGTCAGTGTGCGCAGACAGGTTGCGGACGAAGAGACATGAACAATGCCCGTGCCTCAGTCTCCCACATAGGGGCCTATTTCTTTGTGGTACTGTATTGTAGCTTTGGATCCTTAGCATTTTTGGGTTTATTAATTTTTTTTTAAATTTATAGCTGCCCTACTAAGTGCAGCCAAGATTCGATTTGGGTTGGAGGTTCAGGGCTTCAGGGTTTCGGGACCTGATGTGTGCGGCCAGCATCTGTTTGAGAACCTGTGGCTCCTAAACCCTAAACCCTAAACCCTGAACCCTGAACCCTAAACCCGAAACCCTAAACCCTAAACGCGGAACCCTAGGCTCAAAACCCCAAAAACCCGGTCAAAAGGATGTCGAGTCGACCATGCCTCTCCCGAGGCTTTGGAGAAAGTGCGGGAGTCGATCGAAGATACCAAGGCAGGTCGTGCAGGATGGGCCGAAAGAGTAGGCAGCCCGGATTCTGGAGGAACCCTAAACCCTAAACCCTAAACCCTAAACCCTAAACCCTAAACCCTGAACCCTGAACCCTGAACCCTGAACCCTGAACCCTGAACCCTGAACCTTGAACTTACTTGTGCCTTTGGGACCAGGCCGCAATGCACCAGTCTTTCACCATTCAGAAGGGAAAGCCCGGAGTGGCGCACTTGGCGACACAAGAAGCGATGAGGCTTTTTTCTGATGATGCCATAGGGTTTAGGGTTTAGGGTTTAGGGTTTAGGGTTTAGGGTTTAGGGTGTAGATGAGTATGTACATATATTTCTCGATGCCAGAGATTCTTTACTACAAATTCTGTACGAGCTCCCCTCCCTCCTCCGCCCAGATGCATGTGGAGGAGGTCTACAGTGGACCCGCTTTGCAGGCGCAGGATGTTCGGGCTTCCCCAAATCTATAGACTATACAGGTGAGGTTTCCTAGAGCAAGGACGATCTGCGATGGGCACTACTGTACTGGCCGCCTTGTCGAAAGGCTCCTGTCGAAAGAGGTCCTCGTCATCCCCAGCTGGCCCAAACCCTAAAAACCAAGCCCTAAACCCTAAAATCCTAAACCCCGTTTAGGGTTTAGGGTT